CAGCTTTTCTATGCTTCATTCTATATAGATTACTAATAATTCTCAAGTATAAGATTTATATACCTCTCCTTGCTTTTTATGTTTTGAGTTCCAGCATGCTCCTTAGACAAACAAGCAATACTTCACCTATGTGCATTTCCACTTTTTGTGTCAAGCTATATTGCTTACTGAGCTATCTATTGAGTTTAAGGGACTATGAGCAATAAATAAGGTGAAACCTTCTTGTTGACATAAATTATAAGCTCCTAATAGTTCTTACCACTCCAACTCAAAGTGGTTTTACTATACACACAGCCTGCCAAAAGGACGGATGCACATTATATTTAGGAAAATGCTAGTCATATTCAATAGCACCATCAATAGGAATAAAAAACCTGGAGACTTTTTGAAGATGAGACTTGATATAGTTAAAGGACCTTCAAGTAACTATGGAAATTTTGGTGAAAAAGAGCAGGTGCTCTCCAGCCACCCTGCAAATCCACCATCACACCACTTGCCCAGATCAGCAATGGGGTATCCTACCAGAGGTGCTGCCCATCAGTCCCACAGCCATTTCAGCTAGATCAGGGGATTTGCTGGAGGTCATGCCCATTGGCACAGGCAGCCAAGATGCCCAGCCATTACACTGTACACCAAGATCGGCTAAAGGAAGGGCTCCAATTTCTGTAACCACCACTTGGTGAACACCGAAAGTAGTGGTAGAGGAAGACTCATACCCAACAAAAGCCCCATGTAAAGCAAAGCAAACTGCAGGCAAATAATGGGGAAAAGAAAAACACAAATGGTCAAACAAGCCATCAAGGAAACAATTCACCACAGAGAGAAGACCAATCTCCAGAAACAAATAAAATAGACACAGAGGAACTTTTCTTCCTGTCAGGTAAAGTATTCAAAAATGTGATATTAAAAAAAAAAAGTCAAGCAATTACATAGAACAATGCAAAGAAAACTAAGAAAATCAGATCAGAGATACATGCGAAAACTCACAAGAGGAAAATAATGCTATTGAGAAACACAATCAAAGAAGAGAATATTGAGGAAGAAACTTTAAATAAGAAGGTAACAGAACAGCAGGATGTAAAAAAAGATTAATGGAGGAGGTAAAACATTTCTAGAGAAAGTCATGGAAATAGAATAGACCAGATGGAAGAATGAATCAATAATCCTGAAGATGGGGATATGAAAGGAACCAAGACAGAAAAAGAGAGATCCAAAGGAAAAATAATTAAGAAACACTTTGATTTATAGTTGCTTGTTGATTTTGATTTTTACTTTATTATAATTAGTCATTTTCCTGGTCCCTTATTTAGGTTTTCTAAATTCCTGCTATGAGTGAGACCATCCGGTATTTTTCTTTTTCTTTCTGGTTCATTTTGCTGAGCATAATCCCTTCCAGCTCCATCCATGTTGCTGCAAATTGGGTGAGTTTATCTTTTTTGATTGCTGAGTAATATTCCATTGTGTATATGTACCACATCTTCTTGATCCAGTCATCTATTTTTGGGCATCGGGGTTGTTTCCATAGTTCAGCTATTGTAAATAGAGACACACTATGGTGGAGGGAGGGGGGAAGGAGGGATTAGGGTTAAAATAAGGGTGGTGGGAATTGCATAGGGAATATAACCAAGATGAAAATGCATACACTGTGCAAAAATGAAAAATTATTTAAAACATATAAAATAAAATAAATAAAACAAAAAAGAAACACTTTGAGAATTACCTGACAACATAAAGAAAGGAAATGTAAGAATCATAGGAATCCAAAAACAAGAGAGAGAGAAAAGAGATGACAAATGGTTTGAGGAAATTATTGAAGAAAATTCCAAAACGTGAAAAGGGAAATGAACATAGAGATGCAGGAAGCTATAAAACACAAAACTACATTTAAAAAATGAAATCTATAGCAAAGCATGTAGGAGTAAGTCTTTTAGGAGTCCAAGACAAATATAAAATTTATAAAGCTGAAGAGGGGATGAAACAGATGACTTACAAAAAGGGATACTGATTAGGCTAAAATCAAATTTCTTTAAAGAAATACTGGGCATGAAAAGAATAAAGTGACATATCCAAAATACTCCAATACAAAATCTTCCAACCAAGAACACTTTATCCTTTAAAGTTTTCCTTCCTACATGAGTAGGAAATAAATATTTTCTCAGACAAGCTAAATCTTGGGAATTGCAACCACTAACCCCCCTCCCCCAACCAAGAAATATTAAAGTGAACTTTAGGATTTACACCAAAGAGAGTAATGAACACAAATAACTGAACAAGGAATTAAATCATGAAATATAATCCAACCTTCTGCTATCCCCAGGAAACACACCTAATTTCCAAAGATAAACATAGACTGAAAGTAGAGTTGTGACACAGTTCTACCAGCAAATGGCACCCCGATGAAGTCAGGGAAAGACATAATTATATCAAATAAAAGAGACTTCCAATTTAAACAGGTGACAAAAGGCAGGGATGGACACTATATAGTGATCAAGGGGACAATGTAACATAAAGATATAACAGTTATCAATAATTACTCATTGAATGAGGCAGAACTGATATATATTAAACAATTATGAGCAGCTCTGGAAACAGATATTGGAGAAAAAACATATGCTGAGAGATTTCAAAATTCTACTCACCAATGGACAGATCAATAAGAAAGTAAATAAACCACATTACACTTACCCCAAATAAAGATTTAGACCACACAGGCCAAACAGATATTTATAGGGCACTGCATTCCCCCCAAAATGAATATACATTTTTCTCAGGTGCACATGAATCATTCTCCAGGATTGAGCACATACAGGTTCACATGACAAACATCAACATTTACATGAAAAATTAAATCATATCAAGTGTGTTTTCTGACCATAAATGAATCAAACTGGAAAGCAACCACAGAAAGAAAACAAGGAAATCCTCCAATATACAGAGACTGAACAACACATTACTGAAAGGACAGTGTGTTAATGGAAATCAAAGATGGAAAATGAAAATAATGAGACTGATGATAATAAGGACATTATTAAGAAGAAAGTGAATAGCAATACAGATCCACATCAACAAACAAGAAAGAATCCAAAGAAATAATCTACTATCTCATGGAACAAGAAAAAGAACAACAAAGTCAAAAAGCTAGTAGAGTGAAAGAAGTAATAAAAATTCAAGTAGAAATAAATGCAATAGAAGGAAAAACGACAGTCCGTAAAGATCAATGAAACCAAAACCAGGTTCTTTGAAAAAAAATAGACAAACCTCTACATAGGTCTACAAAGAAAAAGTGGGAAAAATTTTTAAATAAATAGGATCATGAATTAAAGAGGAGAAATTACAGCAGACATAGCTGAAATCCAGAGGATAATAAGGTGCTATGAACACTTGTGTGCAAACAAGTTCAACAATCTGGATGAGATGAACATAATTCTTGGAATATACAATCACCAAAAGCTGAATACAAAAGAAAGCAATTACAAACATGGAAACTGAAACAAAGATTAAAACTTCTGAAAAAAACAAAACAAAACAAAACAAAGCAAGGACCATAAAACCAACAAAGCATGGTTTTATAAGTCGGTTCTAACAAATGATTAAAGATGAGCTACACCTATCCCGCCCAAACGTTTTCAAACAACTGACTAATAAGGAACTTCCAAATATATTTTAGGGGCTCAAATCACACTAATACCAAAACCGAACAAAGACAACATAAAGAAAAAAAATAAAACAAAACTAAAGGCCAATATCACTAGAGAACACAGATGCTAAAATCACCAATACAATCTTAGCAAGCCAAATCCAACAATGCACTAAAATAATTATACACAATGATCAAGTGGAATTTATTCAAGGGTGATTTAATATATGAAAATCACATAACATAATTTATCAAATCAGCCAAAGGCAGAGCAAACAGGTGGAGAACAATGGACTATGGTGAAGGACTGTGGATGCTTGGTAGTGGATATGGTGTGGTAACATACATCTGAGGGGCGATCCTATACATCTAAATCATGTACAGTGTCATGAACCCATGTTACCTCCACTAAAAAAAATTTCCTTGTTATATTTTAACAAACCTTAACCTTTGCTGGTATCACCATTGTTGATGCCACCTGGTTTTTAAAGTCAATTCTCTTGATTATTTAATCATTACCATATGACTTACAATGTGATTGCAATTTTTGTTGGCAAGATTATTTCTCAACTAGAAACTAAAGTTGAAAGTAGGAAATTAGTTTTCCTCATCCTGGTGTACTTACTGTAAAGCAACATTTGACTCATTTTGAAGTCTTATAGGTAGTGTTGAATGATTGAATGAATGACTCTGGTAGGTTTTATCTCCTGAGACAACTTAATTATACAGAGAAACCTCCTGTTACTATACTATCATTTATGCATAGAAGCAGGAATTGGATCTGTCCTCTGACATTCATTTGTTTATTCTCCTGATATATGAAACCTTTACTATGTGCCTGATCATGTTAAAGATAACAGAAAATAACAGAATGTAGTTCTTGTATTCAAGGATGTCAAGAATATATTCTAAAGCTCATGTTATCCTTTAAGCAGTGTGCCAATTTATGAATGCTGTAAATATTAATAATAATTAAATCGTTTCAAGTTTTTCTAAACACTAATTTTTTTTTTGGCTTTGTATATTGGTAATTCACCTTATTTTTTTTTAATAATAAATTTTATATTTCCCCATACAATTGCAAACCCCCCATTCTGACACCAATCCCTCCCCTCCCGCCCCCCACCCCCCAAAAAGTGTCTCTGGTTCATAGTTTTTTGTTGATTTTGATTTTCACTTTCTTATAGTTATTCATAAACACTGATATTTATTGATAAGACTCGTTTATCACTATAAGTGTAGTATACTCTGGTTATATAAGTATTGTTTTATAACAGGTTACAGCCACTCTCCCCTTGATATAGTTTATTTAAACAGAAGGATTATTCTTATCTATTCTATAATAAACAATAAATATGCTTACTGTTGCAAGTCTTGTTATATTTGCTGTTCTCCTGTGCAAAGCCTTCCAGCCGGCACTGAAAACGATGCTGCCAAAATTCTTGAAACCAAGGGTTTCGGAGGTTTGTTTCTGGCCGGAGTTTCAGATAATAATCATCAAACCACTTGACATCTGGAGATTGGAGCTTGATTGTGATTCCTCCAACAGCTTCTCGCTGATAACCATCTGTCACATCATACCTGTCAGCCCAGCCATCACTGTAGGGAAACAAACCCCCCCCCTCTGTTTAGAAAAGATATTTTCTTAGCAAACAGTTCCATTTACTTTCCTTTTGAAAACATTAGTCATTACATGTTTACTCAGACCATACTATAGCTCTGCAGTACACCTAAGTGATTATTGAAATAGCAACTTCTTAAAATAAAAAAAAATACAAAACATAGTGGAAACTTTAAGCCTAACAGCAGTGGAAGGTGCCAACCTTACGATGAACTGCAGGGAATAACTTGGCATTTTGGCAGTCTTTTACTAGATGAAGAAAACCATACATGCATGGAAGCAACATAATATCACTAAGATAATTGACCATTTCATAGCCAGGTCAATTTAATTTTAATACATCCTTTTCTTCATAATAGTCATTTTCATGATCATAAAATAATGAAAAAACTTTCTAAAACATGTCAATCATTAATTTAACCATCACATGGCATAATATCCATTTTTAACATTTTAAAAGTAAGTTTTTAGCAGGTTAAAAGTGCTGATTATGGTTGCTTCATTAAATATTGATTAATTTGCGACTCAGAATAAGTTTTTAGTAGGCCACAGTCCATATACCCTTTAGTGTTCCATGGTATTTAGCTAATATATTAAAAAGATACATATGGATTCATAATTTGCATTAAAATTGTTGAAAAACCTTAACAATGGGTCATCAAGAATGGTAACAGGGGGCTTCCCTGGTGGCCCAGCAGTTGAGCGCTGGGCTGAGAGGCTGCCCGCAGCCTCTGCAGCTCCAGTTCAATACCTCTCCTGCTGTGCCTGCTGCTCCCCTCAGCAGTGTATTTCATCAGTCTGCCTGTTCTGTTCCCTGCTCTGGCTCTGGTGACTGTACCCAGTGCTTGTATAAATAAATAAATAAATCTTAAAAAAAAATGGTGACAGGGATCATACTTCTCAACATCACGATCATTCTTTTTCTTTTTTTCAAAGATTCATTTATTTATTTACACAAGCACTGGGTACAGTTAGAAGCGCAGGAGGGTGAGAGAATTCACCAGAGCCAGAGCGGGGAGCAGAGCAGGCAGAAGGACCGAAGCACACTGCTGAGGGGAGCGGTGGGTGCGGCAGGAGAGGTCTGCGCGCCATGTGGGACCCTCTCCCGGCACCCGGGGATCAAACCAAAGCTGCCGAGGCTGCGGGCAGCTTCACAACCCAGCGCTCAACCGCTGCGCCACCCCGGAGGTTCAACATCACTATCATTCTAAACACTGATCACTCAGAGTAATCTAGGGATGATAAAATAAGTTTGAAATTAGCTCACGTTATAACAGTATAATAGAATAAAGAAAACTATTCTAAGCTTATTTGGAAAATTCATTCGATGCTGCCATGGAAACAGAAGACATGGATGTTTAAAAAATGTGGTCACACTTTGGGGCATTCAGAACAAAAGAGACTGGCTTTCCTATCCTCTATCTTACTGATGTATGCACATTTACCGTGTATCTGTTGGGACCTAGAGGCACTATCTTTCCTTTGAAAAATGGTAAGTTCTCTTTCAGGAAAGATAAAGTCAAGTGAAAATTTACTAGTGAAAAAAAAACAACTAACATCACAAAGGGAAGAGAAGACCTATGGTGAAAGTTGAGAGGAACAACAGAGTGAAGTCTCCTGAATACAAAGCAGCAAATTGTTGGTAAACTGGGTTAAGGAGAAGTGGGATTTGGGGGAAGGAATTGCATTAACAATCATTGCTGATTTCATCAATATTCAGATACTTATGTTTGTTAAATTATTAATTTCTTATCTTAATTAAATACATCTTAATTAAATATATATATATATATTATAGACAGAGAACACCTACACATATTTGGGAAATAAAATCAGTACTGATAAAGCTAATGTGAAAATAATTAAAGTAATTTTTAGAGCATGCATTCTTTCTTAGTATGCTCTGCTACATCAATTCTGACCTAAAAATGATAAAGTTGTTCCAAATGTCATATCCTACTAAGATATCACAAAAACTTGGGATCAATTGAGATATTTCCTACTTTATAAGTGGCTGGAAGAGGAGAACAAATAAACAAAATATATAAATCATTTCTTCCTATAAATCCTCCATACTCCCGGGGCTTAAGATAAATTTATGTATTGCCTAAATATCACTGGGGGGGCTTCCCTAGTGGCTAAGGTGTTAATACACAGCCTATGAGGCAATCCACAGCTACTGCAGCATGAGTTTGATAGAGTTTGATCCCCTGTCTTGCCCACTGCTCCCCTCAGCAGAGTATTTCAGTCAGTCTGCCTGCTCTGCTCCCCACTCTGTCTCTGGTGAATCCTTTCACCCCCCATACTTCTGGCCTGTACCCCAGATCTTGTATTATAAATAAATAAATCTTTAGGGCCTCCCGGGTGGCGCAGCGGTTGAGCACTGGGTTGCGAAGCTGCCCGCAGCCTCTGCAGCGCCGGTTCCATCCCCGGACACCGGGTGATGGTCCCACATGGCGCGCAGACCTCTCCTGCCGCCCGCTGCTCCCCTCAGCAGTGTACTTTTGTCTTTCTGCCTGCTCTGCTCCCCGAACTGGCTCTGGTGAATCTTCTCATCCTCCCGCGCTTCTGACTGTACCCAGTGCTTGTATAAAAACATACATACATACATACATACATAAATCTTTAAAAAAATAAAATAAATCTTTAAAAAAATTACTGGCTAGAAGAAGAGAAAAACATAAGCAAGTAAGATAAACATTTTTTCTCTAATTCCCCCTTTTCATGAAGATATTTCATTTAAAAAATCTATGGTGAAATGTCCAATACTGTTGTGAAAATCAGGAAAAAATAGAGTAATGTAATATGTACTGTTGAATTTGGTTACTTCACACATTATATTCCCTCAAGTTTCTCATTTTCAGCTCCAGAAGATTTTATTTAAAGCTGACAAGTTGAAATGCAGTGGGCTTGTTTGCCTCATTTTCTCTCTCTGTTTTGGAGGGCTTATTATATCACTGATATGAGAGTGTGGGTCTCATTGGCACTGGAGAGATGCATGGGCGTGCTGCAAATGGGACAGGAAGCTCTGTTTGTCAAGCAGAGCCCCATTTTCCAAGGAAGTGGGAATTTAAATTGCTCCTTTTGTTAATGCTCGCTTTCTCTTATGTAACACTGTGATTATGAATATTACATAAGCAGTATAACATTATAATGGGTCCAATTTACCCTTCACAATTCATTCACTGAATTTAATGAGGGTTGTAAAAAGCTTGTCTTGATAAACTTTTTTGCAGGTAATATTTCTATTAAAAAAAAAAAAAGTGCCAGAAACAGCATGTTAATTTACTCATCTCTCACCATGTTCTTTAGTGTTTTGTTTTTTTTAAACATGTTTCTTCTCTACATTTAAGAATTTAGCAAAGGCTGATGTTTTATTAATAGCCTGTAAGTTAGAGTTGTGAGCTTTAAATAATTTTGTTTGACCAGCATAGGGTACAAGCTAGTGCTACCCCAACCACTGTAAGGTGCCAGGAATCCCCACCTGCCACCTGCTCCAGTAGGTAAGAGCCTGAACCAGCACAAAAAGAAAAAAACAATAAAAATTCTAAGGCCCTGCAAGGCCCAGCCTGCCATCTATCCCACCCAGTAAGAGCCTGTGCCAGTATGGGGGAAAGCTCTACACACAGCAAAAACCCTACCTATGCACCACGGCCCCAAAACAAATAATGGGCATAATAGAAATAATAGAGGAAAACTTCTCAAACTTGGAAAAAGATCTAAATATAAAAATTCAGGGTTCTATAAGAATCCTGGAGTAACTAGATAACATGAGACCTACACTGACATGTAGTAATAAAAATTCCAAGAGTTCAAGTCAAAGGAAGAACACTGAAGCTGGCAACAGGGAAGAAGCAGATGACCTGCAAAGTAATGCTGACCAGGATAATGTCATTCTTCTCTGAAAAAAAGCTACATTCAAGGAGAAAATGGGATGGTGCACTCAACACATTCAAAGACAAAAACTGCCAGCCAAGAATACTTTATCCTGAAAAACTGCCCTTTATATCCGAGGGGGGAATAAAAGTCTTCTCAGATTAATAGAAGTTGAAGGAGTTCACAAATCCTTAACCCCTCCTCTATGAAACATTGAAAGGTGTTCTAGAATCAAGTTGAAGAGAGGAACAACTCAAAGAATTAAACAAGACAATAGATAGAACCAGAAAATTATGGACAAAATGGCAGTAACTAATTTTCATTTTTCAAAAATCACTCTAAATGTAAACAGACTGACCTCACCAATTTAAAGCACAGAGTATATTGTTGGATTAGGAAACAGAACCCAACCTTTTGCTGTCTCCAAGAGATATGCCTGAACTTCAAAAATGAAAATAGGTTCAAAGTAAAGGGCTGTAAAAGAAACCGAGAAGTCAATGGAAAGGAAAACAGGGACAGACATACTTATATCAGGAAAAAAGCAGACTTTCAGTTAAAACTGGTAATAAGAGACAAGTATGGACACTATATATTGATTAAGGGAACAGTAGTCAGGAACACATAACGCTCAGTGTGCACTTGCCAAATTAAGGAGCACCAAAATAAATAAGGCAACAAATATCAACTCTATAAACAATCATTGAAAACGCACACACACACACACTGTGAGCAGGGTACTTCAACACCCAACTCCCACCAGTAGATAAACTAGATAGAAAATAAACAGGTGCACAAAAACCTTAACAAAGAATTACACCACATGGTTCAAATAGACACGTACTGGGCACTGTGCTCCCGAAGGGGAAAATACACATTTTCCTCTAGTGCAGATGTGGCGCAGGCCATGCTACCATGCTGTCCGACAAGGTCTGGGCATGGGGGAAATTTATGAAAAGTCAGAAAGCTCCATAGCTGATTCCTGCTATTTCCTTTCATTTGTTTGTGCCAGTTATTGAAATCATGGAAATTTTCTATAGGCTTTAGACTAACAGAATGAGTGTTGGCATCAATGCCAGTTTCGGGAATGCATACCTCAGTAGTT